GAATTTAAGAAACAAAACAGATGAACATAGGGATAGGAAGGGAAAAATAAAATAAGATGAAATCAGAGGGGGAGAAAAACCATAAGAGACTCTTGACCACCAGAAACAAACTGAGGGTTGCTGGAAGGGGAGGTGTGTGAGGGGAAGGGATAATTGGGTGATGGCATTAAGGAGAGCTTGTGATATAATGAGCACTGAATATATCACTGAATGAATCACTTATATGTAAGTGATTAATTACTGAACTCTACCTCTGAAACAACAATACACTATATGTTAATTAATTTAAATAAAACTAAAACAAATTTTATCCTGTTGCCTTGATCCTTTCCCCTCATTTCTCCCTAGTAGCTAACCAATCTATTGTACTTAACCTAAGATCGTAAGATCAGTGTCCTGAACCTCTCATGTACTTTCTCTCTCCCACACCTTCAAATAATTCACCTTTCTAGGCAATGGTTTTTTAAATGTTTTTATATGTACGTATGTTTGCAAAATGCACAATGTCTACCTAAGTTGTCTTAAAGGGTAAAAAACCTTCCTAACTTGTTTGCAAATTTGTTCAACCCGCTATAACACCCAGTGTGATCTTTATGAAGTTTTTCAGGAGAAATACTTCTATAGATCTTACTATCTGGTAACATTGTTCTTCCCCTGAGTTATCGGAAAATTTTATCTTGCCATAACCATAAATAACAAGACTGGAAATATATCCATTTTTATTTTGGCCCTCTAAGTTTAAAGTAAAATTAATGGTCAACTTCTAATAATTTACAAAAATCCATGACATATATTCTTAAGTGCTAATCTTAACCTAGAGGATTCATACCATACCCATTTTATCCTCACCTGGAATCTGTAAACCACTTGTTTGATCTTTTTTGTATTGTATTTGTTTTATATACAACTGTATATAACTATAACTGTAAGCTGTTTCAAATCCTTTGTTGGATAATGCAAGGAAGAAAGGGAAGAAGGAAGGAGGAAAGGTAAGCAGGTGGAGGAAAGAAGGAGAGAAAGGGTGGAAAAAACATGAATTGTATGTGTGTGTGTATGTGTAGCTCACATTCAGGAGAATATCATGAAGTACTATATAGTAACTCATAAGTATGGCTGTGACAAGCTGAAACTACGATCGTCTGGGCTCATACATCTATTTGGTGGCACAGATTCCTCTCAGCTGGGTCTATGGAAAGTTGGTCCAAGTAGATATGATTAGTTCATACATCTACATCCATCCCTTGCATCTTTTCTGCAACCCTAGTATCTAACATTGTGTTCAGTGTGTGGTTTGCACTGAAGAAATATTTATTTAATAAATGGATGAAATGATTTTTCTTACATCTGTTAAATATGCTTCAAATCACACATCCTAAATCTATATTCTAACTGTCATGTGAGGTTCTCAAACACATCATTTATTATATACCTGTTTTTCTTTGCATGGTTCATTGAGGATGAATAGGTACAATAATTCTGTAAGCTGCAGTTCTAGTTAAAGTTCCACTATCAAATTCTCCATGAGCTTCTGAAATTGGGAAAAGAGTGAGAAAAGACAAGGCCTAGAGCTCTGTGATTCTTGATCACAAATTTTCTCCTCTAATTCATTACTTGTCTATCTGTCCACGTGCTGTTTTACAGGTTCAGAAAAGGTTTAATTCAGTTCAAGACTTTAACCTGAATTTTAGAGTCCTTGTACTACTAAGATTTTACTTTTTACTCATTTTTCCCTTACAAGTCAAAAATAGAACATAACATGTACTTTTTATCATGTGTCAATAAAATAATCAAAGCTCCATCCATAAAAGTTCTTGTTTTTTTTTAATCTCCTTGATATATACAATGTATAACCTATTAAAATAAAGTAATAAGCACTCAAAGTTCGTTCTCTGGTGAGTACCCTCAAAGAAAAGTAACTGATTTTTATTCACAGTGAGATAAAAATAACCAGCTGTTTTTTCATTAACACTATTCTGCCCAATTGCCATCCCCACTCTAACCAATAATTTTTTTTTTTTACATAAATCATTCTGACATAGATCAATCAGAATCTTCCTTAACCCAGGAACCATTTTTACATTACAGGTAATAATATTCCACCTTTTTTTTTTTTCCCCTAGGAGGAAGGATTTAAATGAGAAAAGTATACTCTCCATGAAATTTCAGTCTTCTTTTTAGTATTTCTCTGTATGTCTTATGAAAGAAAGAAATGTATTCATAATTGAAAAAATCCATTTATCTTTGTTCTGCTGGTGCTATACTTCCTAGGAAATAATGACACAGAAAATTTCATGAGGAAATGTTGAATTGTACCTGCATTAACAGCTGATATCCAATAAAGCAATTACAACTTTTAGGTCATTGTGATCTCAAAACACAATTTGGGTCATAATTATTCTATAATTTATAATTATTCTATAATTTTCTTTTCTTTTTCATGTTTAATTTCTAGGATGTGCCTGTACTTCAGTGTCTCAGATATAGAACTTAATTTAGGACTGTTCTTTATTAAAATATTCTTTTTTTAAAAGATTTTTATTTATTTATTTGACAGAGTGACCACAAGTAGGCAGAGAGGCAGGCAGAGAGGGAGGGGGAAGCAGGCTCCAGGCTGAGCAGAGAACCTGATGTGGGACTCAATTCCAGGACCATGAGATCATGACCTGAGCTGAAGGCAGAGGCTTAACCCACTGAGCCACCCAGGCATCCCTATTAAAATATTCTGTTCACTATACTAGGTTGATTGAAATGTCATAATAAGGAAAACATAAACTCGTAGTAAATATATTGGAAGATACATATATGTTTTTCAAAAACCATTTAAGAAACTCAGTTATAATACATTGATGTCTAAATAGACTTTCAGAGTTTATAAATTCAGTGATGATGAAAAAAGCAAAGTAAAACTATATAATCCCTAAAGAGACATTACAGCTTTAATGTGTGGTTCCTGTGTCTAAGTGTGGAGTCAAAGGAAGGCAAATTAGATATCTTGCCATGTTTGTTTTCTCAATTCAGATATTTTATGGAAAAAGACAGCTTCTATACCTGAGAATCAATACATAGGAATTTAATGCCGTGAGTCATACATATTTGAAAATGAGTAAAACTTGATTTTCAACAGAAGTTACTGTGTTTTCAAACCACTGTTAAAAAGAAAAAAAAAAAAGAAAGAAAGAATTAGAACAATTCTTTCTAATCTATCCAGTTTGTGAAAAGCTTAACTACTGACAATGAAACACAGAATTTTTAAAATTTTATTTATTTAATCATAAGAGACAGAGAGAGGGAGAGAGGCAGAAGCAGAGGGAGAAGCAGGCTGCTTCCACAGGGAGACTTTTATAGGACTTGATCCCAGAACCCTGGGATCAGGACCTGAGTTGAAGGTAGAACTCAACCAACTGAGCCACTCAGGCATCCTGAAGCATAGAATTATGTGTAAAATTCTAAAGACTTTCATCAATAATGAATACTTCCCTAATTATTTGGCATTACGCCTTCACTGTTTAGTATTTCTTCATGATTTTGAATGCATTTAAAAGGTTTGATTGTACATTTAGTAAATCACTAAATTGTGGCAGATATCTCAAAAAAAGTATAGGATCCTTCTTAAGATATTAAAGTTAGTGATTTCTCTCTCATATAATTTCAGTATACTTTCTCTACTGCTTACCACTCTCATCATTTGTCCAATTAACAAACATTAAATTTGAAAGTCTACATTGTATTACTGTGAAACATACTATTTTAATGTGAAGTAATGAGAATTTTCAAAAAAAACCTCTTTTATAATTGGTGAATAATGGAGGAAAACACAGAACATTTTCAAGAAGTATTTTTCGGGGCGCCTGGGTGGCTCAGTGGGTTAAAGCCTCTGCCTTCAGCTCAGGTCATGATCTCAGGGTCCTGGGATTGAGCCCCACATCAGGCTCTCTGCTCAGCAGGGAGCCTGCTTCCCTCTCTCTCTCTCTGCCTATCTCTCTGCCTACTTGTGATCTCTGTCTGTCAAATAAATAAATAAATACTTAAAAAAAAAAGAAGTATTTTTCACCATTGGAACACGATTTTACAGACAAAATTCTGGGACAATGTTTATTTATAAAAATATTGAAATCCTACTATTCCTAGGAAACTATTCTAAAAATCATATCTTTGATTAACTTAGCCCAAGAAGGGGGAAAGGGCCATATATACAGAGCTATGACTAGATTAATAAAAATAATAGAAATACAAACATTCTTCATTTTTTAGGTCACTTTATTTTTCGAAAAATATTTTCAAATTTTGCAAATGCAACATAATTTAAGAGAAGGGAGTTGATCACCAATCAATGCTATAATTCTTCATGCATATAGTTGGATATTTTGATAACTATGATATTCCTAGAGTAATGAAAATGAATGAGTATAATTAATTTGTACCAGCCATTCCAGGTTTCTATAAAATGAAAATCACATGACTTTCTCACACACATTTATAGAAAAAGAATACTTTATATCCTCATCATATTTGCTAGAGCACACAAGTCTCTCTAATTTGGAAAATTCACGCTTGGTTTTACACAGCATTCCTAGCATGACATAATGAGGTACCAGGTTGGATACCAGACACCTCTAACCACTTCTATTTCTCTTCTCACTATGCATGATCTGGTCTTATTTGTAGTAGAAAAATCAATATGTAGGAAATTTTACAAATAAATAAAATGACTATCTAATGTGTTATAAAGGTATTGTCTATTTTCTTCCTATACTGGCAACTTGTATGCACTATAAATAGAAGAAAAGAGTGTGTAATACATATAATCTGAAAATTGTGGTATTAAAAGTGTATGATATAGACTTATTTTTAAGGCTCTGATATCACTGCCTAACAAACAAAAATAAACTTTGCATAATGAGAGAAAAGTAGGTACAAGTTATAAAAGTAGACATTGTTTAAGATTTTTTATTTTTATTTTTTATTTTGCCTTTCATCTAAATGCTGTGTTATATTGACAGATCTGGGAAATTTTAGTGGCCGGACAAGAAGTGCAGTCTCTGTGAGGGAAGGCCAGGGGGTTGTTCTGATGTGCTCTCCTCCGCCTCATTCACCAGGTACAGTAGGATCCCATTCTATATTGCTGCTGATCTTGTTTACTATATGCTCATTCTTTTAGACAGGGTATTTAGTAAGAAACATTCCAGGTGAAATGTGCATTCAAAAAAAAGAATGTATCAGAGTACCAGCTGAGTAATTAAAGGTCATATATTCGAACTACCACTGGATAGAAGACTGCACTCCTATGATAAAATTGTTTTATTGCCATTCTAACTGTTGATTGTTATGGTTATGTCTCTCCCTGCCACCAGTAAGGAATACATTGCCTGGAGCACAAGGAATGTGATAAGCTGAGAGTAAAAATTTTTCAAAATTATTTGGAGTGTCAGAGTTGAGTTAATAACAATGTGCATCTTGTTTCAGAAGATAAGCTTGCAACAGGGTTGTTTATAGTGTTGTTTGTCACACTGGAAAAAAAAAACTGCTAAAATTTTTTTTTTTTTTTGAGTTTCAAACAAAACTATAATTTACGTATTACTGTTTGGCCACTCGAGCACTTATTTGTAAAAGTCATATTAAAAGGTTAAGAACTTCATGAGGTTTGAAGAAACAGAATAGTAAACTGTGCTCAGATTAATTATATTCCCTTTACCAGCTCAGCTAATTATACTTTTTTTTTTAAGTTCTATAATTTGAGATGAGTACCTCTTTGTATCTCAGTATAGTTTTCCTATAATACAATTCAAGAGTGGCCAGTATCAATTAGGGAGAGAGAATCAAATGTCTGTCTGAGAAATAACAAAGACCTTACCGCTAACAGGAAACTGAATTCAGGGTCCTGGCATTTCAGTCAATTTTTCTTCTTTGCTTAGTGTGAAAATTATACTTGTTTCTAGGTTGTAATTATCAGTGTAGTAATGGGGACCAACTTTGTTCTACCATAGATCATTCTTATCATAAATTATGATAGGACCTCAATCAATTTTCTTAAAATTTCTCATCTTTATCTGACCCCTTCCTAATGTGTTTTGATTGAAGGAAAAGTAAATTTTATTTCAATAAGAAAATATTTTTTAAAAACCATTTTTTAAAGTCAAATACTAATTACTTTCAGGAATCAATTTTTGAGTTTTCCCCCACTTAATTCTTATATATCAATTCAGTCCACTCTTCTGTGAGTAGTTTGGAGACTTTTACAGTAAACATATTTAGTCTTACCTGCTTGTGATTCTAGATTTAGATACTTTCAAGGAAGCATGTATTGTAACTTTTTTCCTATGGATAAGACAGAAAATTTTAGTAGGTTTAAGTGAATCATGTAGCATCAGTATATGCTATGTCTAATGTTGGGTTATTAGATTTCATTTAAGGATCAGTATTAGTTGAGTAATAGTTAAAGATAAAAGAGAGGAAGGAAGAGGAGGAGGACAAAGGAACCTGCTCTATAAAGAATGAAAGTGTTCACCATCAGACTTACAGGAGTTAACACAAAAGCAAGATTTTTTGAAACATAATCTATATCACAAGACTGTTAGAACATGTACAGAAAAGGGAAATGTGAGACAATGATACAGGAAGCAAAACAAGATTACACAAAAACAAGTTATCCAATTGCCGAAGAAAACTACAGAGATTTCTACTGGGGAAAAATAGCAATAATGAATTGCATACATGATAAGCAAGAGATAAGAATATGTACTAATAATTGATGAAATAAAAATGTGATCGTTGATTGACATCAATAAGAGTAATCCCAGATGGTTGCTACTGTGTATATGTTGTAAGAATATATACACTTGGGGGACCTGGCTGGCTCAGTTGGTGGAGTATGTGACTCTTGATCTCGGTATTTTGAGTTTAAGCCCCACATTGGTTGTAGAGATTATTTAGGAAATAAATTTAAAAGAAATTTTTAAAATTTAAAAAGAAATATTAGACTGATAGTATGCTTTAATATGGTAGGAGAGGTTGTATTCTACTAGGTATTTATTTTGGGATTTTATGTCAACTGATGCACTCAAACATCAGTGTTAGCATCACAGAGTTTTAGGGGATACATGCATGGTCAAAACAACAGGAGTAACTCAGCATCCAGACAAATGTCTAACACTTACCAGATGAGTAGTTTTCTCCTGATCAGCCAAATCCTATCTTTAAGGTTCTTTATTGAATATCCCTTTTATACTCTTGCTCCAACTGAAACTTGCAAATACCCTGAAGATTTGGCTTCCCGCTGCCCTTTATAGTCATGGCTATTTATTCTCCCAATTTGTATGTACCATTCAGAGTAAGATTAGAACAGATATCCTTTCTCCTTATTACCCATTCTCCCTTCTTCCTCCTTACAAACCCTCAGTTTTTAAATTTCAAGGCATTAGACTCTACACTTTCTTGTTGCAGTCATTTACACTTTCCAAGTTCATTATCTTCATTTCCCGAGATTTTACCACCTGGGTCACTGTCAATTTCTTCAATACTTATCCAGTCTTAATATTTGATAATTTCAATAGAGGTCTTACAATATCCCATCCTCTTCATTCCTTTTATTTCTCCATTGGGATGCTCTTATTTTACAATCAACCAGGGCCACTTAATCTGTTATTATCAACATGTACAATCTCTCAATTACCACACTTTTATTCTCTGATTAGCATTTACTACCTCATTCCTTCCAGTACCCTGAGTCCAGGAATCCTTTAATGTCATTGAAATCTGCAAATCATTGATCCTAGCCCCTTCTCACTCTACTTCCCCTCCTTTGATTCTCACTTTTTTCTTTCAATGATTATCATTTTCTTACATAGAGTTTCAATTTTCTCACCCTTTTATGCTTCATCACACTGACTCAACAGTTGACAAAACTTTAATCCTAATGTAGATCCAACTTTCAGCCTACTTCATGCCCAAACCTATTCAATTTAATATAACTGTAAAAGAAAAGAGCCAGAGTTATGCAGACTGATCTAAGTCTAAAAACCAAACTTATGAATTTCAAGGACACTTTAATGCTGATAAAAAAAATTAAATATTTTATTTATTTATGACAGAGATAGGGAGAGAGGGAACACAAGCATGGGGGGGCGCTGGAGAGGGAGAAACAGGCTCCCTGCTGAGCAGAGAGCAGGACATGGGGCTCGATCCCAGGATGCTGGGATCATGACCTGAGCTGAAGGCAGACACTTAATGACTGAGCCACCCAGGTGCCTAATCAGAAATTTAAAAAAAAAAAAGGTAAGATTAGTTTCCTTACTGTAATTCTGTCAAATCTTAGTATGTCTCCCTTCCTTCAGTTCTTCTGTCATCCCTACTCTCAGCTGATAACCATGCATCCTACTCCACTGGGGAAAGGAAGGCAATTAGGAGATATTATCTACAGCCTTCACCACCAAATGAAACACTCATTAGCATCTGTACTGATAGATTGTAAATACCCCACCCCCCCTTTCTAAGAAAGGGAGAGAGTACATGCTGGTGACTAAGGAGAGGCAGAGGGAAAGAGAGAATCTTAAGCAGACTCCGCACCTGACTTGGGCAGGGAGGACTACCTCTCACAACCCAGAGATTATGACCTGAGCTAAAATCAGAAACTGAATGCTTAACTAACTGAGCTGCCCAAACACCCCTTCTCTTTTTTAGTATAAATGCATTGTTGTGCTTTTACAGCCAATCCCTTAACTTGTGCACTGTAGTTCATCCTTTTTCTGTCTACTCTAAGAAATCTCTTTAGTGAAGATGATCTACATCTTCACCATGGATTGATTATTTAGTCCTTCTTGATCATTCCCAACAGCATCAACTATACTGTCTCTTCCTTCACCTGAAAACAAAACAAAGCAAAGCTCTCTTTACTGATATCATCTCTCACCTACTACCTCATTTTTCTGCTCCTTTTCACTGCAAAACTCTTCAAAACCTTTGTCTACCATACTTCATCTAATTCCACTCCTTTGAGTCTGCCTCTCTTTCTTACTGTCTGTCTCTTTTTCTCTTTCTGTTTCTCTCTTTTTAAAAGTAGATTTATTAAAGTACAATTAATATCCCAGGAAACTCACTCATTTTAAGTATAGTTCACTGAATTTTAGTAAATTTATACAGTTGTGCTACCATTATCAAAATCTTGTGTTACAACACTTCATCATTTCACAAAGGTATTCCCACCCAATTTCCCCATTGATCTACTTTTTTAGAAAGTTCATTTTCACTGAATCGAATCATATAATGTTCAGTCTGGGTGTATATATATATATGTGGTGAGAGAGAGAGTTTGGTTTCTTATACTTAGCCTAGTGTTTCTAAGTTTCATTCATATTAAGACAAGTATCAGTAGTTTGTTAGTCTATATTGTTGAATAGCATTCCATTGTACAGATACACCCCATTCTGTTTATCCATTACTCAGTTGATGGGCATTTGGAATATTTTCAGTCTTCAAGTTGTTGGTCAGTTCATCCTCCATAAAATGCTTTTCTTGCTTAGCCTTTAAATACTGACACCTCCAAAACATATATCTCCAATTAGAACTCTGGCTTGTGTATTCATTTACCTATTCAACATTTCCAATCTGAATACCTAATAGGCATTATAAACCTAACCATGTCTAAAACTGCACTTCTCGTTATATCTTCTCTAAATCTGCTCCACCTACAGTCTTTTCCAACTCAATCAAAGGCAATTCCATCTCTTACTATCCATCAGGCCTTAGAGTCATTTTTAACTTCTCATTTCCTGACACCCCACATATAAACCATCAGCAATTTTATGGGTCCTACTCAAAGCTTTATCTAAAATCTGACCATTTCTCTCTCCCTCTTACTGTAGCTTTCCAGAATGAACCACCATCATCTCCTACCTGGATTATTCACAATACTTTCTTAACTAATCTCCCTTTTAAAATTTTATCTTTTTTTTTTTTTTCAATCTATTATTAACATAATAACCAGAGTCATTATTTAAAATGAAGTTGTTGTCATATTACCTCCCCTCTGTGCAAGACACTCCAAAAATTCCCCATCTACCGACTGAATTGAGTTACCCCAAAATTCATGTTGTGTGACAGT